GAGAGTTGAAGAAATGAAGTCAATAGTCTTCTTTCTCCTCCTGCTCCTTGCCGTTGCAACCTCAGAAAGCGTTATAAATGGTTGGTATAATTTCACAGGCGTTCATGAAGAAGAAGTGATTTGGCAGTCTCTTGCGCCGATGAAGAAAGAGTACATAACCTATAATAGGTTGGAACCTCAGAAGACATGTAGCTCTTCCAAGAGAGATCCTTGTACCGGAATCGTTAATGGGAAGAAATACAGCATTTGTCCTTTATACACCAGATGCAGACGCTACCAAATGATTTCGGGATAGGATACTTCGACTTTCTCTGTGTTTCCGAATGGTTACACTATACTCAAAGTCGTTATGCATTTTTACATATTTTTGGTACGCTTTGTTTGTCTGATCCGTTTTGTATGATGTGCTTCCTGTATTGTGTTGCTCTAATCGTTTTATATGTAGTATCTATATTTCCATATATATAAGATCTTTTCTTGTGTCTGTTAATATATTTGTATATAGAGATGATTAGTGATGCTTAGACATAAATATCCAATAGCTTAAGCTAAAAAATAAATATTCAATAGCTTAGAGCTTCATCAACTTACTGTTTACACTCCTTACTGCTACACCTCTTCTACCACCTATGCCAATCAGTCCCAATCTGTATATAGATAACACACTTGTCGTATTTTATCTCATCAACGGTTCCGTACAAGGACTATTCTTATCGATGAATATCCGATGTGGCTTTGATAGCTCGAATATCATGTATGATATATAATTGGATGCTATTATTCTTAGTCATGCTTAGACGTAAATAAATAGATATACTTAATATGAAGAGTGCTTAATGCTAGTATTTAACTCGATCACTTGAGTCTAGATCATAAATCATTTTCCGCATGTTTCTAGAAATGCTTGAACCACCTTCATATTAGTTTTTTTTTTCCTAGCTAATAAAAGTTGATGTTAGGGTGATTAGTGAACTTAGTTGACTTGGTCAATCATTTGGAGATTATTTAATTTGCAAATGAATGTTTAGCTAAATTAGATAATTAACAAAATAATTAGTACCATAATAGTGGGCTATAGTTTGTATTAGCGATTCATGTTCTATGATTGAGCTTGAATTAGGAGTCTTGTATCATTACTTAGTCCTTAGAACCCTTTAGCCTTCTGTAACCATCCCCATCTGTAACATTGCGGGCACACCGCAGAAGATGTACGATTTGAAAAAAAGAGCATTCGTTAAATAATTAATTGTTGATTTTCATTCATCTTGTTTGAGAACATCTAGTTAACAAATCAAAACTATCCTCATTTTTTGTTTGTTTAAAATGAGGCAATTGAACTAAGTTATGGTGGCTTAGTAGCAAAAAAAATTCATAAAAGAAGTAAACCTTTTTTATTCAAGTTTGACACTTCTTGAAACACTTTCATTTTTATTTAACCAGTCGAGTTTTGTCATGCTTTAAAAAAAAAAAAAAAAGCCAACACACTAGACAATTATAACCACACTAAGAAATTAGTAGTATAGTAAAAACCTCAATTACTTTTTCTTTGTTTTACCTTAACTAAAACATGCCACCGTGATTGGTAATCTAATTGGGCGGAAAATTATTTACAAAAGAAAAATCTACAGATCTAGAACGTGCAGAACAGGCTAAAAAAATCCGTTTTCAAATTAAAAGTACGAAAAATTAAAGAAATTGAAAAATGGGAAAAACGGCCGTGCATCTCCCAAAATTTTGCCGATGAGAAGATAGAGAAAGTTGGCTATTCCTCCGGATTGTGA